CTGTGGCTTCTGCGTTTTTCACTGCAGAATAAGCCACAGGTTCTGACTGTGTAACTGCAGGGCAGCATTCCTTCCTTCCTTCCCAACAAGGTTGCCTCCTATCCAGGGCTGTCTTTGGGTAAATACTTCAGTGCAGCTCCCCAAACCTGCTGTGCGTGGTAGGAATTAAGCTTATTTTTCAAATAAAAAGGCAAGAAAGGGGTCAGGAGCAGGGATCAGATTTAGCCTGTATTTTTAGTAAGATGACCAGATTTTAAGTATGATTTATTCCTCTTAAACACTGAAAATCTATCTGTGAACTTTTCTTCATCAGAGTCCAAAATGTCCAATAAGATATGTAAGTCCAAAATATGAGATAAATGTAAGATAATGGTCCAAGTAGCTTTTATAATCCAGTTGTTCTCACTCCTTGGCAAGGAGGAACAGTGTCTCTCTTGATTGCTATGCGCTCTAGAAGTTTCCTCCTTCCCAGTATAAATGGTTCTCCCCAGGCCTGGGCTTTGTTACTGTGGGGGATACACCTGCTGCTTATTTCTCCCAAACAGTCCTTACCCAGCTCCCTGCAAACCCCTGCTTATGGGGCAGGAGAAAAGCGAGGGGTTTGCCCTTCCCAACAACCTTCACACAGGTGGTATGCATCCTGCCAGACGCCAGCGTGCTGCAGGTTACTGCTGCACACTAATCTGATGTTATGCTTTCTCTCAGAGACTGCTTTTGGTTATTGGCTGCCTGAGTCATGCAAGCCCGAAAGAGCCCCAGCACTGGGAGCAGAGCGACGTGATCCGGGGAGCAGTCTGGCTCATTCGCTCGCTTTCCGTCTCTCCCAGCAGGGAAGTTCATGACTGCCCGATGCAGAGGGACATTTCTGACACGTCTCAGGCAGGAGCTCGGTGGCACTGTTAATAGAGCGTGGCTGTCTCATTTGTAGGCTCTATTCATCTGACAGCTAAGAATTATCAGTACTGATGCTTCACTCCCTCTTTTTTTCTCTAAGCTAGTGATTTGTCTATGTTATGGGTAGGTAGGCTTGACAAAACATTACACATTAGCAGCCGAGACGGTGTTTGAAATGGGAAAATTGCTAGCAAACTGCTCCATTAGAGACCCAAATAACAAATTCTTTCTTTTCCTCAATGAGAGAGAGATAGTTAAGGCCCAAATTAATACGTCTGTCTCCCCGACTCTGCAGGGAGAATCACTCTTCAAGACAAATGGCTTCGTCACTCCTGAGGGTGTGAGCTAGCTCTACCAAGGCTGCATTAGACAGCGCTTTTATCCTTTGTGTTTTGCCATCCTGGGTGTGAGCAGTACAGGCGCCAGATGAGGAGATGATGAAAAGATTTGCACCTCAGTGAACTTTGAGATGGATTAGCATGGGAATTTGAGTGCTTATTCTTTATTCTGGGATCGTTTATCATATTTAACTGCACAGTTTGCCCTGTTTGTTTTTGTTTGTTTTGTTTGTGTGGGGTTTTTTTCCTCTGATATGTTTGCTTTTATGGCTGTGAAGTCATTTAAAGAGAGTGGGAAGAAGGAGGACTTTATCCTGTCTAACATCATGTTATTACAAGAAAAATGCATCTGAATCTGTTGGGCCCTCATACTTTCCAATCTCTGATAATATGTTAGAGAAGAGAAAGGAAATTGTTCTTGTCCTTTCATGTTGTTGTCAAAGACTCTAAAATAAAGCTTTGAGAGGCAGACAGACCATTGCTGCCTGTCAGAATGGGGGAGATATGCTTCAGTTCATCTAAGCGATACAGCTGGCAGCAGGCGACATGGCACAGTGACATGGGTAGCAGGAAAGGAGGAACAAAAGCCCCTGAGAGGTTTGAACATGGCCAATTTATTTTATCAGTTTTGTGAATTCTTCTTGTGGAGTCTTTCAAACAGATCTTATTATGAAATACTAGAAGAAAATCACGGAAAATTTTGAGTTGTATGAAGTCTTAATTGTAGGGGATAGTAGTTCAAATGATCAAAATTTTAGCCTTTTAGGACTGTGTCTCTTGTACAGAGTTCTCAAATGTGTTATAAAATTATTTTATAGTATATTCTGGTGGTGGACAAAAAAAAAATGAAGTCACTGATGTTGCTTTGCACTAGCACAGGTGGTTTTATAGTCTATGACAACACTTCATAGTATGCAGGGATAGACCATGAGAAATACAGTTTTCCAGAGGTTATGCTTTAGGTAAACTGGGTAATTTTCTCTGAAATAAAATGTGGCTGTAAAATTTAGATTATCTTTTAACTTTTTGCAGAAAAAATTACAACACTAGGTAAGAACTCTGTTCTTCACTTTATTTGAAAGATGGCACCTCTAGCAGCAGTTTCCCATTATATCATGAATAACACTGCTTTATAATTAAGCCTTCATCACCTTGAAATTGCTAACACCCCTTCTGGCAAAACCTAGTGTTTCCTAGAGATTTTTAATCCTGTACTGTCCTTCACATGTCATTTATGAGCTCAGGTGACGTGAAAACACAGGGTATTAATACAAATAATTTGTTTTCCACTATTTTAGATATGTAACTGCATTGTGTTTTTCAGCCTATGCCTGCCAATCTATAACATGCCTTTATGAAAGAAATGAACAGAAATCAGATTAGTACTTCGTACTTTTAAAATACTTGCTTATTTAATGCTGTACTTTATTTAATGCTCAAGATCAGCTGCATTTTGTGCCCAAGTTAGAATCCACCTGCAAACACACCCTGATGAGAACACACGGTACTGTTTGTTGCTTCTCTGGTAGCATCTGCAAAATGTAGTGCACTAAGCAAATGTGTTATGTGTAGTCTTTAGTCCTTCATTTACAAAGAGCTTCATACAATCAAAAAAAATGTAAGGTGCTAAGGTGAAAATATAGCAGCAGATGACAACAGCCTTGTCCATCTATTTCTGTACAGGCCATCTGCTGCAAATTTTGTAGAAAAGGGTGAAGAATTCAGTACTGCTTCAGAAGGTAGCTCTCTGAAACAACTCCTTCTGTATTCCTCTCCACGTTTTCTAGAGATTTCATTTTTTCTTATTACTTGGGATCTGTGGCCATTCTTTTCTTTCCCCTTTGGGCAAAATTTCTGTGTATATTTCCACCCCCCGAGTCACTAAAATTCTTTTGGAATTTTAAGTGATTATAAAAAGGGGCCGTGTTTCCCCCCATCACTATATTTGAGTTTCCCTGTAAGGACTGCTATGCTGCGCCGACGTGCAGCATGTGGGAACCCCCAATTTCCATCCATAAGGCAGGGAATTGGACAGGCAGGGCCCTCTTTTGTTCCTGGAAGTGTCTGCATAGAAACACTTGGGAGGAGTTACACACCGAACTGGCAAGCTGACAAAAAGCCTTTATGGGAAGAGTATGTCTACTGCTAATTCTGGTGACAAACACCCAACAATAGTAGCGTGCTGAAGCTTACAGCAATTTGCATTTCACTGTGGACTTGCCAGAAATGAAGCACATTATATTTAGACCAACTGGAAGGGAAATCTCAGACACTAATTCAAATCACAAAACAAGGAGTAGAATTAATTCTGATCACAACCATTAAAATAGACTGCTACAGAAATAAAAGAGTGCATGCACATTGACTGTACAAGTTGACTGTGTAAGTATCACAATATTCATGACTTAAATAGCTTCTTAGAGCATAACTGAGCTGGCAAAATATCTTATTTTCAAGGGGATTTTTCTTTTGTCTGTTGAAGGATACACTGTGCAGTAGCGAGCTGGTGGGCCTTACACCTTTTCTCTACGTTATTCCCAAGTCCTTTAAAAAATGTGATTTACTTCTCCCTGCATCTCATTTTATCTCCATTCGTGGTTTTAAAATTTTTTTCTCCCCTCTGCATTGCTGCAGCAGCTCTAAATGACTAGAATGATTCATTCCATCATTCTGGTATGTTTTTGTATTTCGTTTCTAAACCACTTCCCACCACAGATTTTTGCTATTGAAACGGTTTCTTTTTATGACATTTTTGGAAAAAATACACAACATTTGAATAATAAGTTAGAGCTGGGTAAAATCAAATTTTACTTTGGGTTCCAGGTCTGATTGTAGAATTTTAGCTGCCATGGTCATTTGAATTTGTTGTATGGGGATCCACTTTTACATTTCTAATTGAGATGAATATTTAGGGTTCATCTGAGAACACGACAGTCCTTTGAGCGGGAATTTGGGGAACTCGCTGACAAAGACTTGACAATACTTCTGGGAAAGAACAGAAATTAATCTTAATGGTTACTGTATGTTTTATCTTAAAGCTGCTTACATTTTATGTTAGTGATACGTGCATTTATGATACTTCATAAAGAATACTTCTTTCAAACCAAATCTCAGAAATGAAAACAACAGCATTTTCATGTAGCGTGGACCATATTTTAGAACACCCTCAGTATTTTGTAGTTAGAATAGGAAGATACAGTCCTTTTTTTTTTGCTCTGCTTTAACACAGAATCTTCCCCCCTGCTCCCCCCCCCAAAAAAAAAAAAATATCTGGACTCATATTACAGTGAATTCCACTTTTGTTTCCAGCATATTCTCACAGATTGGTGCTCCTGAGTCGTTCTGATAATATTATTAATCTGCTTATTAAGCTGTCACAACATAGCATAACTTTCAGTTTCGATATCTACGTTCTATTTACAATAGCTGGTAAAGGAAAGCATCTGTATTTTCTACGTTAACTTCAATTAAGTAGTAATAGAATATGCCCCCTATTTTTTATTAATTCCGTGTGCTTTAAAGGTGCAATTTCTATAACCTGTGACTTTTTTCTATACAGATTTAGTGTAATCAATGAGATTATTTTATTTTCTAAATTATTTTCTCAGTATTTTCTCCATTTAGTAACTTTCAAAAGAAAAAAACCTGTTTTGCATAAAAACTCTATAAAATTGTTTTATATTTATATAAAAATCTACTATCATGTTTAATGTTATTCCTGTCCCATAATTGTGTAGTTAACATGTATATTAATTTGTTTGTTTTTAGACGTTTGGAACAAAACCTCATCAAAATCATCCCCCCTGGAGCTTTTACCCAGTACAAGAAGCTTAAGAGAATGTAAGTTTTAATAAGACCAACATGCAAGAGCAATCATGAATCTTCTAGCTTCAAGTTCAGTATCTTTATTTTAGAAACATATTGGCAATTTCCATGTTGAAATCACTGGGGATTGCACAAATAATCTCTTCAAAGTGTAAGCAACAATGGAATTTGGTTCAGGATGCCTAACAGTGCATGAAATCCTTAATAATGCTTAATTTCACTTCCTATTATAAATGATGTGAGCTAATTAGTTGGTAGTCTGTTTGAACTTCAAATCTGCTTCCTCTGAAAAGATTTTAAGTTCTATTTTTTTCTCTCATTCATTCTGGTGTCTGTTTGCACCAGTTCAATTTAGTTAACCCTAGTTACAGCAGGAGTGCATGTCCTTGCAGTAGTTAAGATTTTTTTTTTTTTTTTTTTTTTTAGTGCATTCAGTGTCCTGGTGTTGAAATAGTTTGACTGTTTAGAAGAAAACAAAGAAACTTGCTGGAGCTTGTTTTCTCTGTTTCTTAATCACCAGTAGATACCCAGACATTTCTTTTCTTATTAGCTCTTGTGTTTTCTCTTTGGATTTAAAAAAAAGATTGTGATTTTTAGCAGCACTCTCATTCCCCATGGTCAGTCTTTCTTTTCATTTTTAAGTGATATATGAGAGATGTTGTGACAGTAGTACAACGATACAGATAATGGTAAAACAAGTTACTCCTGCTTCACCATAGTATCAAGACGTTGATGGGTACCACTGGACCAGTGACTTCCAGAAGTCATTCAGGCTTTGTAGCTCAGTGCTAAGACCGCTAAAAAGGTGCCTTTACAGTTCTTGTTTTCTGATGTGAACAATACTTACTGGAATTAAGAAACTGTCAGCTCATTTCACAGAAGACATTGGACTAATAGATAGCTAATGCTTTTGGAACCAGAAAAGAGCTTGTGCTGTACCTTCGGATTTAAAGATAAAATTACTGTGTTTGCCAGTCCAAACTTATCAAGTTCCTAGAGCTGAAGAGCTGTAAATATGGATCTTAATATTTAACAGGTTAAATCATCAGTCTTATAGAGTCTCTATTCTTCTGTCTCACTTCCAATATAGCTGTATGTATTTTTAAAGAAGTACTGTATTAGATACCAAGACGGTAATTTCAGTGAAAAATGATGGATCCCTTTTCAGTGACCTAACTTGTAACTTTTTCATTATTAAAGTCATACTTAGTTCTTTCTGAGGTATGACTAATTTTAGATTTTGGCAATGTTTTACTATCCTTTCATTTTTCATGATTGGTGAGCTCTAGTTTTATGGGAGTTGACCAAAAAACCTGTTCTTTAACTTGACTAGCTGCTCAACCCAATGCAACACTTACTATGTGAAATGATTAATGTTAGAATTTCACAGCAGAATTCCATTAGTAAGTTGTGTTAACAGCTTTCTGGGGTATAATTGGCATACTCATTGAGATATGAACTCATTGTTAAGAGTGAGTTACTATGCCAGATGATCTGTATCAGAGCTTAGTTAACGTGACAGCATTGTGTGGAAGAACTTGGGATAGACAGACTGCAGAATATCCCATAACAAATGTGATGCTTTGCCATTTGCTTATTAACCTGTCTCCTTGTTAAAGTTTTGTTCCTGCTGGACAGTGACACTCTAAATTGGGCATCACTGTTGTTACATAAAGTTTAATTGCGGACATTTGTTCCACTATTTGAAGAGATGATTGACATCATCTTGTCAGTGGGCAAGATTCTTAGTATCATTAACACAAAAATATACTTTGGTCAAAAGACTACCTCTTAAAACAAAAGAATTATCCATCCTTTTCTTTATAGAGGAAGGACATGTTCGGTTTCACTGAAGTCTTCAGCCTTTCTTAATTTTTGTCACTTTGATTTCAATGAGCAGTGCAATAGCATGAAGATTATTGATTTAATTAATTGATGCCCTATCCAGGGTACAAATTAAGAACATTATTATTAGTAGTAGTATTATTAGTATTATTAGTATTATTACTACTACTACTACTTTAATATAATTCAGAGGATAGTATTAGCATAACATTGTGAATTTTATTGCATTTTTCTCCTGGTGAATAAATATGCAAGAATGTTACGGATAATAGACTGCTCACTTGCAGCACTCTCAGTATTTTGAATGTTTACTGAGTATTTCCTGCAAGATTGTGCAGTTTCCTTTTCTTAAATAATTGGATAACTGAGATTAACTTTTAGGTAAGAGTCAGTTGTCCAAGATAATCTTTATATGACTTGATAGTGATAGGTCAAAATTATAGCAGAGGATGTCTGTATATTAATTCGAGTGTTGTATGTGCATCTAGCTGAAGTTTGCTGTTTAGAATGTCTCTTCAATAGCTTCTAGAGTGGGAGAGTTATTTTGGTGATTGGGTTTTAGCAAAGGAGCTGAAATCTTTTGTGTCTTGGACTTCATCATAATTGCCCACACCTTCTCACACGATTAATTACATGAAGCTAAATATATCTGTCTCAGAAGGAAGATTTGGCACCTGTAGGATTCAAATATGCAGTTGAATTATATAATCTGGGATGATGGTTCACCTGATTTTGGGATGAATGTAACAGGTACTAGGTGGGTAGCTAGCCCTCAATCAAGGGCTTTAGAAGAGGTTTGAGGGGCTTGAAGGAGATACATCCCATCTCAAGAGATGGTGGTTGTCATTATTGCATGAAGTATGCAAGCCCAGACATGCCATTTTGAATTCATTTACGTAGCAGTTGTGTTTGTACCATAGTTCTGTAACTTCTAGCCTACAAGTTCCAAAGTTTATGGCAGTGCCTCCCATTTTGTCTTTGCTTTTCTGAGGCTTTTAACTAACAAGTTTCTAGCGTAAGAGTAAGAGCCAAGTACATAGAGCCACTTTGAAAGATGTGGTTGTACCTCTCTAGCTCTGATGATTGTAGTGGAATTTCGTGTTGTCAAATTAATTTTACCATACATTAGTAGAAAACACATTGAGATTTCACAGTCTTCCCAGTAGCTGTGTGGCATTGCTACTTTTGTTAAGCAGGTTCTAAAAACTAAACCATATATGACATGGATTTTTGCTGAGTACTGTTGTCAAATGAAAACAGTTCATTTTACGTGTTAGAGATAATCAAGTAGTCTGTTTCTAATAACGTTAGTCGACAAAGAGAATATTTATCCAGTGCTATTAATAGTTTTGCATTTGGCTGCATCTAAAAATAAGTCTGGTTTGTTTCAAAACCTTTTACAGTAAAGACATCTAAGCCATACAGTCATATGTTATACAGTGACTCACAGGGTATCCTTGCTCCCCTGGTGCAAAGTCAAAAACAATTTATGTTCCTACCTGGTAACTGAGCACAGTCACCCTCCAAGGTGTGTTAAACTACCTTTGGAAAGAAGATCTCTACTGTGCTGACAGAGGTGCAGGGAGACTAGTATGAGGTGACTAATGTATTCCCTGCCTGGGTGGAATCCTGGTAAATTTATTACATTTCTGGCTAAAGAGCTACCTTCCCACTGAGTGAGTCAGAGATACCCACAACTATGAAAATGAGCCTTATGTGATCTAAATCGACTTAGTTGTGCAGGTTAGAAAAACCCACATCTCTTTGTCTTGATGTAAATCAAGCACAGAATTGGATGATCTTACCAAAGCAGACTAAAGGAAAGGAACAAAAACACAAGGGTATAATTGAATCCCTTTGCCTCAGTCAAGTCAGATGGAGATGGAGTCTCCTTCTCCTACAGCAGTGGAGCTTGGGCTCTAACGGAAAGGAAATAATGTGTCTAATTATCTTCTAATGCTGATTGTAGTGCATCTGCATGAAGTGAGTGAGTGTCATCATCCAGCATAGCATTTATGCACGTTCAGGCACCATTAGTTATACACTCATTAATGTCTGGACATGTGGAGAGAAAAAGGATGGAAATCTTCAAATTTAGCAAATCAATAAAATAGTGCTGAAATACTTGTTTCAAAAACTAGATGCCCCTTTTCAGATGCTTGTTATTGTTCAGCAAACTCATGATTTCATGTCATTGTAATAGGCTTTAATATGTTCCTTAATAAATAGATATCACAGATACACATCAGACTTCTGCTTACATGAGATTATTAGATAAAAAGCAGCAAATGCTACCAGGCAGTCTAAACAAGTTCCACAAAAACCTATGTAAAAATAAATATTCCTACTTTCGTTGGCACAAATTTTGCTGCTGTGAGTTGAGCTGAAGAACCAGAAGCCTTCACTGAATGCTGTCCTTGTAGGCAGAATGTTGTAATAGAAAACCTCAGTAGATTGCAGAGCAGTTGTTTCATGAGCCTTATAAAAGAACCAAAGAAAATCCCACTTTATGTGGCTAGATTTGAAAACAGTTAGAGGACTTCATTAAAATTTTAACTAATAGAATTTGTAGCTTGAAACATGTATGGAATGGAGAACCTTCTTACTTTCCAATTTCTAAGTTCTTGTTCAAGTGATGTTTATTAGAGTCCTTAGCATGTGCCTCAGCAGAAATAACAGTGAAGATGTGCATGAAATACTGTATTATTCCAGCTTCAGCTATCAGTGAAAAGATTTGATATTACTGATACAAGCTGATACCAACTGTCAGTGAATGCAACAAGGTGGCTGAAAGTTCTGCCTGTAGCTAAGCACCTGGTTGAACTGATTGACAGAAAGATTGGATTGCAGTGACAAGTCATGATAAGGCTCCCAGTTCTGAGCATCTGGGTCCCAAGCGGAGTAAATTTGGCTCCATGTATAAAGAAATTGTGGCATAGTCTATATTTGTCTTTGTGTACTTGGTTGGTTATGATTAAAATTGAAGGGTATTTTCTAAACCAGGAACACACTTTGCCTTGAAAATGACAGCAGGCTGTAACTGAATTCCACTCACTTCATAGCTGAGATGGTGGAATCTCACTGGGGCTCCCTGACAGGGTCTGCAACATGCTGAGTGTTCCTCACAGTGCTGCCGGCTTCAAAGGTCTATGATTTCCATTCAGATGCTTGAAGGCTTTCCCTAGAGTCTGAAAACTCCAGGCAGATCGGCCAGTGCTGTGTTGACCTGCTTCTTGCCTGCCTCACCAGATCAAGGTTATGATAGAATTTTGCGCTGCTTGTTTTCTCTAGGCTGTTAAAAACCAAACATCACTGGCACAGTGCCGAACTCCTCAGGGACACTGGTGCCTGCTTTGGGATTGCAGGCTGAGTAGTCTGTTTCCCATCCCCTTTCCCTTTGGTATTAAAGAGAGGTGGTGTGGGAAAAGTCTTACCTCAGAACAATTTTATCATCCTAAGAATTATTGATATTGTTTCATATAAGTTGAGACTAACCCTTAGAGGAGTTTCTTAGGGTTTTGATGGGAATTTTGTTTGACTATACTACATGTTTCTGGTATTTATGAATATGTTCATCTTTATGTCTCATTTACCACAAGGTTTCTTCTCTTAGACAAACACAGTTTTGCTGCCTCAGAAGCCATTCCCCTGGTGCCTACACCATGCTGACACCATTAATCCCACTGTCCTCCTTAATGCATGTCCTGCCAGCACTTTCCGACTACCTTAGAACCTCTCTTCACCTTATCTATCAAAATCAAAACCTTATAATCAAAATATTATCGTCTGTACTGTTATAAAGTTAGCCTCCAATGCCTGCATTTGAATATTCAGACAACCTTTTTGCTTTGTCGCAGGCTGTTCCTCATGCTTGAGGGCCACCCCCCAGAGTCACAATGTGATTTCCATTATTAATAGTTCTTAAGATGATTTTATTATCAGTTTTTATTGAATGGGCTACCTCACTTTTGTTCTTTAAAGCTCTTCGTAAAATTCTTTGTTTCAATGTCCATAAAATGAAAGACCTTATTAACAGGGGAGCTGACAATTTATTGAGGCTATGGCCTGTTGTACTGACTAATGCTTTGTGATCATTCCTGATATTTGTCTATCTGTGTCCTTATATAGTTCACAATTTCTCTGAGGTAATATGATCTCTTAGTTCTGCTTTTGTATCAAGGATATTCTTCCAATAAACTACAGCTACAATATTTTCATCAAATTCCTGTTTACAAATTTTTTTTAATCCTTCCTTCTCTTTACAGAGACATCAGCAAGAATCAAATATCTGACATTGCGCCTGATGCATTCAAAGGCTTGAAATCTCTCATTTCATTGTAAGTAGAAAGTAGAACTGAATGGGCATTTGGGGAGAGCTTGCATGTAAGAGAAATAAAAACGATAATGTGCTGTCTGGGAGAACTTATGTTTCTGTGTGCAATTGCCAGCTTGCGTGAAGCATCTAATCTGTTGTAAATGAAAAATTGGTCATGAAGTTTAGAAGGAGAAACTGTTTACACATCTCCAGTAAGTTCTTTTATAGATGAACACCCCCAAGGTTACTGACTTGTTCACTTCTTCACAGCCAGTGCATTAGTTGACTTACTGTGCACATGTACCTGCAGGCTAATTCATGGCCCCCAACTCATCCTGGCACACAAAACCCTCATTGTAGCTCAGACACTGTTTGGTGGGGTTAATCAGGGAGGAGTTTAGGGAAAATGATTCCATACTGAATTTTTCTTCTGTATTAAAGAACTGAGATTGCACTCTCTTGTGAGTTTTTTGGTTTATTTGGTTTTGGAAGTTTTTTCCAAACTAGTTAGGGAAGAACCTAAGCTCTTAGGAAAATGTTTATATTTTTTAGCTGTAATTACTACTTTGTTAAGCTGGAAAAGGGACTAAAATATGCCTTCGTACAGAAGATAAAAGGAAGGTAGGATGTCTTGACAACCATTTGTTTCTCTTTATAGAACACAGAAAATATTTTAGCACCAAGTTGAATATAATGCAGCTATATTTCAACCTAGCTACCAACAGCACTACTAAAACAGTGGAGCTTTTAACGGGTAAAAAGAGATACAAGGTCAGAAGCTGTATATGGAGAATGAACCAGAATAGAGTATTAAAAAGAGCCCCAGTTTGAGAGAAGAGGGTAAGCTCAACTGGAATAATATTTACCTGCGTTAATTTTAAAAGAGTTTTAAAACCTTTAGCTCAGTAATGTTCATATAACATAGTTTGATTTTTAAGAGTGTAGTTATTTCTAAAAGCTGCCATATTTTATTCTCTGAATAATGGATAATTCTAACAACCTATATAACTTGTTGACTAGTGCTAATATTAGAAGGCTATTCAATACTAAACATATATGTTGCAGTAAACTTCTGAGCCAGAATGCAGAAGGATGTGCCCTGAATCCAACTGGGAGAATGCCAGAAATATATATTAAGTGTTGCTAAACCTTGTTGAGTAGTTAGGGCAGTGTTATTCAACATTCTGTGGAAATGGTCAAATTCCTCAATGTTTTCTGGAAACGATTCGGTAAGAGAATGACATTTACTGAACACTACACTTTTGGCTTAGTATGAAACTACTGCTGATGCTGCAATGCTACAGCTTTCTGGTCTCAGCAAACCTCCTGGCTAGGAGCAAGCTGGACAGGCAAGACGTTTCTACTGGGGTTGTCTTCCCAAGTCAGAAGTTATTCAGCTTTAGCTTATAGCTAATTCAAATGCCCGTGAGGTGGCCCAGGAGTGGGACAGAACACATCAGAGTGGACAGAGAGGAAATGAGAATATAAACTGAGTGAGAATTGATAGTGATTTGACTTACACACAGAAGCAAGTGAAATGACTGTATATTCTCTGCCTAGTCATCCAGAATGGTATTTTAACTAAATTATGTTTAAATATGTTTATATCCAAGTGGGTAAAATAGTACTTAAGTTAATGCCAAGAGGTAACAAGGAGGAAGAGAGAGAGCAGAGAGATGAGGTGCAGCACAGAAAGGGCTATAGTAAGAGAACTGCCTCTGAGCAGTCTTTCCTTTGTTCAGTGTTTATCTCTGCCTCAGTTTCCTTCTACCACAGCCACACAAAGCTGTTATAACACTGTCTGTTTCCCCTCTCTTTGGCAGACTGGTTTCTAGGACAGTATCAACTCCAACCTTGAAATTGTCAGACTCTTCTAGGTTCAGTTGTCCATTGTGCTTGCCATTGGCTTTTACTTTCTTTTGAAAGGTTTTACTCTTGCTGTTCATTGCAGGTAGATCTTACAAATGTTTTTCCCTATGGCTGATAGGCCAGGGTTAGTTCCCTGATCTTTCATGACCTGTCACCCAGACCTCTGGCAGGATTTTCCCTTGTGGTCGCTTCTGTAGTTCATTCAGTTTCTGAGCCCTAGATATCCTTATGGAGCAAGTTTATCTGCTGTTCTGCAGAATCTGGGTTTCTCTAAAGAAACCTTCCCCAGGTTCCTACCTCTGAGAAGTAGAGGATCTTCTTTCATCTGATCTCTGCAATAGCCACCAGTCCAGTTCTGTCAACCACAGAAAGACAAGTGCAAGAGAAGATGACTCCTTTGAAGTGCCAGCCCTCCCAATGAAACTGCCAAAGGGGAAAGAACAAGGAGGTAGGAATGAAGTAAGACAGTTTGCTTACTAGTGTTTTCTCTTTTAACTGGCTCCATCTTTTTGGTGCCTGAGGCCCCAATAACTTTAGTCATCTGCATGCCCTGAAGGAACGCTGCTCTGCATACAATGCTTCAGCTCAGCTGAGAGTAACTTCTATTTTTCATATATGTAAGTCAAATGCGATTGGTGGCATGCATTTTAATGAGACAGCATTGAGGTTTAATCTGTGCACAGAGCAGCTGGACTTTTCAGCTAGCTGAGTTAAAACAAGAAAAAGGAGGGGAAAATATTAATGCACAAATGAAAGTAAGCAACTTTTTTTCCATTAAAAATGAAGTACTGCTGTACTGCCTAAAATCCTTGCTTTCCCCCCCGCCCTGCATTATTCCCATTTTCTGCTCCTCCCTTTACTCCCTGCTCGCATGCAATTGCGGAGCTCCCTATGGGTCCAGGAGAGTGAAAGTGCTTGTCTGGAAGACAGCCAACATTGTTAGTCTGGCTGGCTAATGGAGGCCTATATATAGTGGGTTGCTACTCTGCTGTCTTCTGAAGTTAACTTAGGTTAGTGTTTCCAGGCAGAAGTGTTTCTCAGCACACTCTGCCTATCATACCTATGTTGAGATGGAAGAAAAAATGGTGTATTATAGTTTTCAAAACACCGGAATGTTTATTACAGAAGCAGTTTCCCCTAAAATGCATAAAACTTAAATCTTTTAAAAGTGCTAAGTGATCCATGTGCTAGCAGGTCATAAGTTTTTATTTTAAATCTATATATTTTCTCGAACAAGAAATCCACCTATAGGAGTCAAAACAGGCCACAAAATCTTAACGCTTTAAATAAGCCATTTCTACCTTAGGTTTTCTCTGCATTTAGCAAAAGAAAGGCAAGCTTGTTCTTGTCAGGACTCAAGACCTCTCCATTGCCCACACACAGGGGAAAAAAAAGCCTTTTCTCCATACCTATTTTCAGTGGGAGTTTGTTCCCTATTCATACAATGACTGTGTGGGAAAAGGAATTTCTACTCCATATTTATTAGAAATATTTGGGCATGTACATAACTTTTTTTTTTCTTCCCTGGTTGGGACAACAATTAAGGAACCGGAATCCTTCTTTAAGAATTTTTTTCTTCTTCTTCCCAGAGTTTTCTGGCTTTGCCTTTTCCCCTTGTTGTCTCTCATGCTGGCGGCACTGTGAGTCACTGGTCAGTTCTTGGTCTGTATGTTCTGTGGTTTTAATTCTGTTACAGTGTCTGAAGTTCCCTTTCAATATTTAGGTACTAGGGCTTAGATCCTTAGCATATTTTTGATATGAACGAAACGTCAAAGCTGTTTATGGACAAAACTGAAGATCCAGCCTCTGGTTTTGGGAGAACAGGGTTGTGGAGAGTTTACTATAAAGCCATTGAGGAGAATGGAGGGTGTTGTGTGTTTTCTCAAGGCCTGAGAAAAAGGGTCTTCAGTCTTAAAGACGCTACTGTGGGATTTGGGAGGAAGAAGTTATGTTGCATAACTTCAGTGATAGCTGTTGGACAAATAAATTGCTTGTCTATACCAAAGTCTCCCCTCTTGAAAAGTGAAAGTATTTCTCTGTCTCAAGGAGATGATACAAGGGTGTATACATTGAAGGCTGTGAGATGCAGTGATACCGCAGTTACTTGGGACCATATGACATATCCAAGATGAGAAACAAATAATTAGAATTATTTGAATCTAAAAACACAATAAGCGGCACAGATGTGAGTGAGCCATGGTAATGTAGCCGTGGCTTTTGTGTTGGAGGGATTAGTCTTGCCATCCAATACTTCTTTCCATATCAACATGAGAGGCAATAGTACCCTTGCATTGAGAAGTGTGGCAAAATTGGTTGATTGCAAAAGAATGTGTTATCTTAATTTTAAGCTAAAGTTTGAGAAATGCTCTATTTGTACTACATTGTGTTTGCGTTATATAGTTAGAATTGCACTTTACTGGAGTTGGAGAGGTTAATAACTCAGCACAGACCATGAGGGCTAAGTTATGAGTAGTTTCGTGTTTCAAGATTGCTGCATGCATTTTCTGAAGTAAATTATTTTTCTCATTTAATCAACTCAAAATCTGTCTAATATCAGTGAGAGGATTGTATCAGCATTTAGTTATTGTTAATAGTATCAAAGATAAATAGTATTCTTGGGGTCAGTAAACTTCCCACAAATGTAGGTTTGGAAGGCTGTATCCACACTGTCTGGGGACATTTTATGAGATATGACAAAATAGTCTAAGCCTTCAGTGTGTTAAACAGACTGAACAAATTTTAGACCACTGCAGAGGGAGAATTCCTTTGCTTTTGTTCACATACTGAATTAAGCTAGTGAACAATTTAAAAGCTTAGATCAGCCTGGGCACAAAGACAAGAGACAGCTTAGATTTTGACATAACAGTCCCATTTAGACCATCATCTCCTGGGTGATGATGTATGTGGTGTTCATTCATGTTGATTTGAAATCTGCAATAAAACACTGTCTATTGCAATAACTGCCAAACTTATTTTAAGGTAACAAATTACTTTGGATAGTTTTACTGTGATTTATTTAGCCTAACTTGTTCTGAAGAAATATGAAATAGTGCAGGGAAAAAAATTACATGTCTGAGTTTCTTTCAGATATTAAAAATTTATTGCTGTTTTTACCCCTATCAATTCCTCCTCTTTTGAAAACTTGAATCCTTA